ATGAGATCGATTCCCGTCTGCCCCGGAGGTGACCACGTGGCGTGGCAGACCTCTCCCGACCCGCCCGCTGCTCCCCTCAGCAGTGTACTTCGTCTATATGCCTGTTCTGCTCCCCGCTCTGTCTCTGGTGAATCCTCTCAACCTCCGCATTTCTGGCCTGTACCCCAGTTCTATATGAATAAATAAATCTTTTAAAAAATAAATAATAAAAATGCATACACAGAATAAGTCTAGGAAAGTATATCCAAACTTTAATAGGTTGCTTCTTAATGGGAAAAGAAGGAACAGCTACATTTTACTCAGTGCATGGCTGTCTGCTATTTTCAAACATCTTAAAAACACAAACCATTTATCAAAAGGAATAAATAAGCAAAGACTTCCCCAGGCTCTGTTTTTCCTTAATACAATTGTCTGTCAATTTTACAGTACTCTCTGCCTTAGCAAAGATAATAATGCACAATGTACTGACTTCATTTCAAAGTGAGGTCACTGCCTGTTTTTCTAGAGCTTATAGCAGTGTGGCGGACACTGGTGTCTGCTCTGACATTTCAAAGCCAATTCCTTACCATCAGCCACGTAATACGAATACTTCATTTTGTTTGGGGCCTGGGCAACAAGGTCTTCGATTACCAAGAGACACCTCAGAACACTCAAGTGCATAATTTTAGCTGATTCTTTCTTAAGACAATAGTTAAATATTATCATGTTATATTACTGAATAAATACGGGTGGGAAGATAGGAAGATACAGCCCTTCAAACATTTAGTTAAGGCAGAGAAAGGGTGACGTAAATGTTAAATCAAGGTATACGAAAGTGATAACAAACTAAGTGGCAGTGCAGAGGATGTGAGATGAGTAGCTATTAGTGGGGTCAGAATCTGCCTTGAATGCAAACAGATGGAGAAGAGTGGATTGAGCACATGCGCTCCCAAGAGAGTGAACCACATGTCTGGGGACCAACTGAAGTCCAAGATGTAGAGGAAGGCACTGGGTGAAGATGTGGAAAAGGGAGAACTGGGTCAGATGGCAAGGGTCATTAATGTCATTGGAATGTGGCTTTTTATGTAGGAGGCAATTCTGAGAGAAGTCTGTTTTGTCAGAAGGGGAAGCTATTTTCTGCAAGTCTGAACTAAACAAGGTTCAGTCATGAGCCCAAAATGCTCTCAATTTAAAGAACTAAAGGACCTGGGTAAGCAAGAGCTGCTGTGAAACCTACAAAGGAAAACAAAAATGCAACTATCCCTTCCATCTCGTTTGAATTCCCACAAGTAACAAAATACAGTAAAGAAATCTTGAAAGAAAATGCAAAGCTCCATTTGAGACCCATTTGATTCACAGGACCATCAACAGACCCCTAACACAGCCAAGTAGACAAGGAATATTAACAAAGAAAAGGAGTTATGAATAGTTTTTAACATTAGCAGAGGCTTACAAAATCCTAAATACCTTTGCTGGACCTCTTTGATGTCTTCTTGTTTCCTTCAGAGGTAATTTCAATTTCATCAGGATTACCCCCTTCATCCTCAATTGCCTAAAAGAAAAAGAAAAGTTCAAATAAGTCAGCATACACAGGACTTTCACAAGTTTTAGGCTGCTGATCTGGAAATGGCCTCTTCTCATGGATTCATTCAATCATTCATGAGTTCTGTACCAAGTTGATTCAAGAGCTCTGGAATCTAACCTACTCTACTAGTCCTTAGCTGTGGTCTCAGGTTTACTTAATCACTTTTTTCTCTTAAATTCTGGAACATGGGGCTAATAAAAGACTGACTGTAGGAAGGATTATAAGGATGTTATTAATCTATGTACAGCAAACATTCAAAGTATTACACACTTGTTTTTATCATCATCACCACAATCTGTTTCATCCTAGCCCTCAAATGGAACTCAAAAAGGTAGTGGGACTCACTATGATTTCCAGCAATGTGCTGTTCAACCCCATGACCACCCTCCATGCCATGCATGCATATGCCACTGTCTGTAAAAAACACAGTAATGGCCTGGGATCCCACTGTGTGTGACATGAGACCAGAGGGGAGGTGTATTACCTAACTGGATCACATGTCCATGATCAGCTCCAAAGGTCTTGTTCTCAACTACTAGGGGACAATCTCATAGGAACTGCAATTATTAATCTCTCCGCAAGCCCCACCTCCCACCCTAAAATCCTGTCAGTCACTTGTAACAGCCCCCACCCACACTCAGTACAATGCATGGCACCAAGGAAGAACTCGGCAATCATTACTGAATATGTTAATGATGACATCCTGGATAATGGGCTTCACATTTAGATTTTACTGATTAAACTTTCCTCTTTACCATGCTATTCCAAGAGTATGAATTTCGTTTTAGCATACCATGCTTTATCTGGAGTCAGTTCCAGAAGTCTCAGAGACTCTTAGGAGTTTACCAGTTGGAAGTCAATTTAGAATAGGCCTTGGGGTTTCCACACCTAGTCTATACAAACAGCAAAGAAAATGTCTCCCTCTTCTTAAAAACCAGAGCGAGGCAGAGGAATTGGGAGTTCTGCCCTGGGAGCAAAGTAAAGCACAACCTGAAAGTCCTTCACCCTTTTCTCAGGGACAGCCACTACACTACAAGAGAAAAGCTGTCCCAAGTGGCAGATGTCCTGTTCTGCCCTAGGTACAAGTGTTTACAGCGTTATCCCTATGGGTACTGCGGGCTATGAGTCACTCAACATCAACAAATGACTGACCCTAGAAAGCTGTTGTAAGAATGCTATTAATCCATGTAAGGCATGGAAAACACAATCTGCTTTCCCTCTACCTTTCCTTTTATGCCCTTTCTATAGAAAACATATTAACTGGATATAGAAGTGGAAGAGAAAATGAAGTCAGTAATTGCATGGCAGAGTAGCAGACGGGTGTACAGGCTGCTGGTGTTTATATATCATTTCCACATCCTTAAGAAAGTGAAATGAGAGAGAGGGATGATTTGTCCCCACAAATGATAGGAATGGAAGATTCAAGTCACATACCACTCTCAGCCACCAGTGTGACAGAAGGTTCACATGCCACGATATTAGCTTTGCATGCTACTGTTTTGTCTGGGGGAAAAAGGCTAAAGGTGCTCCTTTAGTGTGGCTGATGTCAGGCCCTGGTGGCTAAGACACCGACAATCTCTTCCTAGCTGCCAAACTCACTCCCTTGGGTTTTCTCCAGCTGAGTATCTTAGTAAAGGAAATCAGTATCCATAGTGAAAGAAACTCCAACACAAAGTAGAAAGGCCCAACCAATTCTGCGCAGATCAACTCACCGCTCTGAAGCTTGAGTTCCCCAACCAGAAAACAGAAAGTCTCAGTTCCTCTTAACAGCAATTAATAAGTAAAGCCCAGATTCTCAGGTGCTTGGCAGCCAGGGGGGTGGAATAAGTCACCACCATCACTGTTTGCAGGGGTTGGGGGAGTAGGTGGCAAGACCAAGAGGGTCCAAAGACAAGCTTGGTGAAGCAAAAAAAAAAAAAAAAGCCAACGAAATAAGGAAATGGAAAGCACAAGGGGGAAGATGTCTTAACTCAATGCTCCTCACACCTTCTTTCAGGACCCCTCAAGACAGGGGGTTGGAGGCCCCGTTTTTGCAAATGACAAATGGTAGCCCCGAGAGAACGGTTTGCGACAGCGACATATCTTGACTGTTTACATGCTCCAGGAAACACGCCAAGCCCCTTTCACGGCTCTGTCTTAACCCTAACACAAAAGTGCTTTTCTTTTTCTTTTACACAAAAAATATGTTCAGAAGGGGTTAAGCTCGGGACCTGAGACCTGACAGGGGCCACAGGAAGTCCCGCGCCGTCCTTGCCGTCCTCCCGGCTAGTGATCGGCTAGTGATCGCTACAGTAACGGCACTTTTCCTCCCGGGCTTCCTACCCTAAGGTGGCAGCGGCACGTCCTTAAATTGCCTTTCCCCCAGCTTTTCTTCACAGGTACACGCTGCAAACTAACCCCCTATTCGAAGTTTATGGGCCCTACAGTGGTCAAAGAGCAGCGGTCTGCCAGGGTTGACGGTGAGGACAGCCAACCAAGAGCTCCCGGAATCACCCGCCGGGGTTCAAATCCCGACTACTGCGCCCCCGACCGCGTGACCTTGGTTGAGTCCCCTAACTCGCCCATGAAGTGAAGGTTTAAGGGTTCGCCATCCGTTTAGGAGGGCACAACGAGAGGAAGGCCCTCTGCGAAGTGGCTGATGCGGGAAACCAAAGACCTCGGGTCGATGACACTCGTCACTCAGAGCCGCCGGGACAGCGGCGGCTTTCCCCGCCCTCGCCCAGAGTGTTGTTTTTTATTTCTTGTCAGTGCGGTGCTGGGATTTGAAGCTGGGACGGCTTGGGCTCGGCGTTCTCGCGCCCTCGGCCTCTGAACTCCCGCCCCGGCATGAAGAAGCGGAGAGCGCCAGGCCGAGCGCAGGCCGAAAACTGGGATGTGGGCAAGCCCCCAAAAGACCCCAGCCGCGGCCACAGGGCTCCCCGGGCCCACATCCTACCCATCCCAGGACCCGGGCTCCACCTTTTTGAGCCGCTCCATCAAAACGCTCTTGTTGCCGCTAGAGTCCAGATTTCGTTTCCTCAGCTCCGCCCGCAGATCGATCACCCGCAAGTCGCTGAGGCGCCGCGTCCCGGTCTCCGACGAGGCGGAGCTCAGAGCCGCTGCGCCCGCCGCACTCGTATCGCCTAGGCCTGAGAGAGTCTCCGCCATTCCAGGGACCCTGGCTCCGTCGCCCACTTCACACAGAACCGGGCCGGTTTTATCTAGGATTCTAGCACAAAATGGCGCCGCCTGCGAGGGAACCGCTCCAGCCGCCCCTGCGCGCCTCGCTTCTGCGCAGGCGCATCCGGCGCGGGACCTGACTCTCCCAGTCGCGTCTGCACATGCGTATGAGCACCCTGGAAGATGGGCGCAGGCGCTTTGCGCTTCTCCGGCCTCCCGCCGAGAACAGCCGCAACACACGCGTGCTGCAACTACGGCGCCTGCGCGTTTCGGCGAAGAACGTGCGGTTGGTCGACGCGCGAGCGTGCCTGCTGCTAAGGAGGCTGGTTGGGGCCGCGCGCCTGCGCCGCCGGAAAGTGGGGCGGGAGGAAGCCAGTGCGTTTTCTCTTAGGCGGCGCCATTTTGTGCTCAGAGCCGCTACAGCCGCCTGCGGTGTAGGTAGTAGGTGGCGGAGACTGGAAAGCGGGCATGGCGGAGACTCTGGCAGGGCCCGGAGACCCCGGCGCTGGCGTGGCCGCTGTCGGCCCGGGCGCCTCGGAGACCGGGGCGCGGCGTCTCAGCGACCTGCGGGTGATTGACCTGCGGGCGGAGCTGAAGAAGCGGAACCTGGACACGGGTGGCAACAAGAGCGTCCTGATGGAACGACTCAAGAAGGTGAGTTGACTCGTCCCGGCGTGGCGCCCGAGGCCGGGGCACGCCCCTGCGCCGGTCTGTCGCCGTGACCCCCGTCGCTAGTCTCTAGGCCGAATCTCGCGCCGAGCTTTCGGGGACCCGGGGGCCCGCCAGTGTGACCTTGGCCCATCACTACGTCTCTACCTCGTCGCCAATTTCTCGTCCAGCCGGTCGCCTCTAGTGCCGCGAAAGTCCGGCCCCTTAGCCACCAGGGTGGCCCCTGGACTTCTCACAGAAGCACTTTCCTTGGAGACTTCTGACTCGGCACTGTGACCTTGAATAAGTGTCTTCTCAGCCCCTCCTTTTTCTTTCTTAAAGAATAGATAGAGGACTTTTTACAAGAAAGGAGGCTGAGCTCATCCTACCCCAGGACCTTTGCACTTCTCCCGTGTCATCCATCCCGGCTGATGCTTTGTCATTTTGCTTCTGCCTGAACTGTCTTCCCCTTGACCACGAACCCTAAAGTGCCTCACCACCTTCTTTGCCCCTCTCTCTGGTCCCTTCCCATGGTCATGCCCCATTTCACAGCAGTTAACACAAAGCTGAGTATGTGGGGATTGTCCTCTCCCCAGCTAGAACAAACTGAACAGTAGAGATTTCGTAAACTCACCCTTGAGTTGCTGGGTCCTGTTCCAGGAACGCAGAAGGCACTGAAATTAAGTGGAACCACCAATTTCTTCCCACCCCAGGATGTTTGGTGTTCTTCCTCCCCCAAAAGTCAAAGATGGCCTGTTGCGCACCACTCAGCCCTTTGCCTGTACACATGCAGCCCCTCTTTTTATGAGTTTCCTTACTAATTTAAAGTAGGTTAGGCACTGTTCTCATTAGGTGCCACTTTGGAGCTTGTCACTGTCAGATTCTGGAGCCCCAGGTCCCATTCCCCTTTGTGTTGTGGGCGTGGGCTCAGAACAGAGTTGTGCTAGGGTTGTCCTGTGCCTTGCCAGATAGCAGAACCAGAAGTGCCCTGGTTTCCAGAAAGGGTTAGCCTTTGTTTGCTGGGAAGTTGTTACAAAGAACACTGTGTGCTCTGCAGCTCCTAGTAGTTACAAACTTTTCTCTTAATAGGCGGTTAAGGAAGAAGGGCAGGATCCTGATGAAATTGGCATCGTGTTGGAAGCCACAAGCAAGAAGACGACAAAGAGATGTGTTAAAGGTATCCGCTTGGACTTCTTGCTGGCTGGGGCCTGACTGTTCAGAATGATTATTCAACTGTTTTTTTCTTTTTAGTGTTCTTCCTTTGTTCTCCAGGCCAGGAGAACTTACATGACTGTCACTCGCCCCCACCTAACAAGTAGGTTTGCTCTTCACACCCTAAGAAGTAGCTCTGTCCATGGTTCTGGGAGAAGTAAAGGGATGAGCATGTGCCAGAGTAAAACTAAAATACATACAGTGAGTCCTCCCTTACCACTGTCCAGATAGACTTGGAAGTTGAGGCATAAAGTGAATGTGAAGTGTGAGGAGCCAGGAACTCCATAGTAGTTTAGTTCATTGTCAGCAGGGATGGCTTTTTTTCCTAGTTATTGTTATTAAATGATGTCATTTGAGCACCTGCTATATCAGAAACGTCTCTGTCGTTGGGATTAAAAAGAACTAGAGTGAACCACACTCTTAATGCTGCCCTAGCTAGTCTGAGCAACTAAATATAACATGCCTGCTCTGCTTTCTTCCTTGTGTAAGAAGTAGGTCTTATAACAAGGAGAACAATGCCATCCCAAGACAGAATAGAACCCAACTTCTCTGGTATCTGAAATAGATTACCAGGGTATTTGCATCCAGCCTGACACTGATTTACTTTTAATTGAGATACATAATTCAACATACTATAAAATGCACGTGTTTAAAGTGTGTAAGCAGTACTTTTTTAGTGCATTCATAAGATTGTACAACTATCCCTGTCAATCTTAGGGTATTTTCATGACCCCAGAAAGAAATCTTTGTGCTTATCGGAAATCCCACTTTTCCTGTGCAGCATCTGATTGACTTTCTGTCCTTGCTGACTTGCCTGTTCTGGCCATTACATGTAAACGGAACCATATAATATGTGGCCTTTTGTGTCAGATTTCTCTTGCTAAGTGTGATGTGCTCCAGATTTCATCTGTGTTGTAGTGTATCAACGCTTTGTTCCTTCTTGTGGTTGATAATCACTTTTGGAAGCAAAAACCTTTAATTCCATAAAGGTTTGAAACCTTGCCGCCCTCATTGTCACCTTCATTATAGTGATACAGACCAGACTACATATGTTATAATTCAAAGGTTCTGTGTGATGACCTGTTTTCTTTATGGGTGGTACATGAAAACTCTCATGTCATTTATCTGAAGAAGCACTGGATTCAAGCAATGGAGCACAATGCTTAGAAAGCCAAAAAAAAAAAAAATAGTTTGTAATATTTTCATTAATTTCAGTTTACATTTAAACAAATTTTCCTGAGACAGCTTTTCCATAGCTTACTTATTTAAAATTTACGCATGTTTTAAAAGGTTATGTTTTTAAATTAAATTACACAGAAATGTAAGTTTCATTTTAAAGCATTCCTGCGCTACTGATTCTCACACAACTCTAAATTTCAGCTCTGAGGACAGATTGTCCTAATGAATACTCTGAGAGGCAGAACTCTAGTAGGAAACATATGACTGCCTCTGTGTTCCACTGTTACTGATGACCTAAACGTTTGTTTTTGAATAATTGTGAGGTTGAAGCTTCTTATATTACATTGATGTTCATGTAAAACTGTTTCAAAGCTTCAAATCTGTGAGGTTCTTACCTCCTAACAGGGAGCTTCGTATCTTTACGAAAACAAAACCTTAGCTGAGTGCTTCAAATACCTGCCTGAAAGTCTATCGTAAAGTTTGGGGCAAATCTGTTAGCATTTTGTCAGAAAAAGCTTTTTTAACAGGCCCATTGGTATAAAGAAAATGTCAGTACACCTCCAGCTGAGATTGGAAGGGTCCCTTCTTCCTTTACCAAGGAAGTCTTTAAAACTAAGAGGAAAAGTAGGTGGTCTGGGCTCTGGGGCTACACATCTCTGCAGGTCTGTCTCCCCTGTGTGTCCATCAGTGGTGTCTGGGCTTAGTTAATCGTATGGAGCACTGGACCCTCCTGGAGACGTGATTGTAGTAGGACCTTTAGGTTACATACAAGTGATTAGGTGAAATTAGTTGTTTCCAGAGACTGTCACAAAGTAGCTCCAGTTCTGGCAATTCACGAGTAACTAGCTCCTTTTAACAGTGAAAGTGTTAGAGCTATACTGTCTTTGAAACAATTTTGTTATAAATCAGCCAGAGTTCTCTTCCCTCATTTACCTAATCACATTGTTGAAGACTTAACAATTTGTGTGTTTTGAGGGATTGTTTTGAATTTGGTTATGCTTTGGAACAAACTGGTTTTAGCCACCCTTCAGCCTCAGTAGGCAGTGAGAGCCTACTTTGGTGGGGTTGCAAGCCTGTCTGCTGGACAAGGCCCATGAGGGTGCTTTTTGGCAAAGGTTTTTGGTCTGCATCTGGTATTTACATCCTGTATGCATAACCCAACATTTTAGACGATGTAATTCAATTGGATGGGCTGTGTTTAGATAAAATGGGAAGTGGGCGGCCGAGTTTGAGTCCCAGCTTTGGAGCTGACCCAGGTTCTCCTGTGTTAAGTGGATGACAGACCTGCTAGTATGGTGGGGAATGTTAAGCAATACAAGGTGAAGATTCATGCCTGACAGGTAAGAAAACTGCATTTTTTGAGCCATTCTTGATATTAATGGTGAATGAGTTACTTAAGACATAATTAGCACTGCAGATTGAGTATTTTATGATTAATTTTCAAAATTATAAAAATGGTGTGAGTTAATTTGGAAAATGTAGAAAGTATGATGATGGCATACTTTCAAATGTAGCAACATATGACAATAATCTCCTCTCTACAACTGCCCTGGCCATAACGCTCTCTAATTTTACAAATGCACCTTCACATTTGGATGTATGCAAACACACATTTTCTTAATAAAAGCAGTATCTCTGACTTTGGGTTTTTTTTTTTTTTAAGATTTATTTATATGTGCATACAGAACTGGGGTACAGGCCAGAGGAATGGAGGGTAAGAGGATTCACCAGACACAGTGGGGAGCAGAACAGGCAGACTGAAGTACTCTGCTGAGGGGAGCAGCGGTGAGACAGGAGAGGTCTGCTGCGCCCTGTGGGTCAGCTCCCTGGCTGGGGATCAAACTCATGCTGAAGTGGCTGTCTGGCCTTACAGTTCTGCACTTTAACCCTTTGCATCACCAGGGAGGGCCCAGGTTGTTGTTGTTTTCATGGTAAGACATTGTATGGTGGTCTAATGAATTCAGCACTGTTAGCAGTTTGGACTGAATAATTCCCTAAATTAAGGTGCTGTCTGGTGTAGCATCTTAGTCACATTGCTCTAGCTGCTACTGGCGCGCCCTTCAGTCATGGCAACAAATGCATCCAAATGTTACCTCTCAACTCTCCCTGTTGGGAACTGGTGGTCTCACAACTGAACAAGATTGCCATTATTGTTTCCCTTTTGGCTGCTCTGTGTATACTTATCGGGAGAATGAATGCCTAAGTTTTTATTTCTTCTCAAACATTTTAGCACACATTCTGGAGTAAAGTCATGCATATTAATGCTTTGATACACCTGGGGCCCAGAGATTGAACTTTTCAGTCTAAAAGTTTACTCTACTTCTTCTCCTGTAACCCAACCCCCTCAGAAACAGTTAACACTAACTCTACAGTCAACAAAACCCGTTGACTTTAGGGTGTCCGTTGTTTTTTTATTTGTTAAAAAAAAACAAAGTTCCTGAGCTGCAGAATGAAAGGCAGGTGGCCTGACTGAAATGGATGGGATGTTGGGTGAAACAGGAAATTAGTGATCCAGTGTGTTACTTTAAAATGCAGTTCTTAGTTTACTAATTGGACAATGTATTTTTTTTTTTTAAGATTTATTTATTTGCATACAGAACTGGGGTATAGGCCAGAGGCTCGGGGCGGTGAGAGGCTTCCCCAGAGACAGAGTGGGGAGCAGAACAGGCAGATCGAAGAAGTACACTGCTGAAGGGAGCAGCGGGCGCATCAGGAGAGGTCTGCCACACCATGTGGTCACCTCCGGGGCAGGCGGGGATCGAACTCATGCGGAAGTGGCTTTAGCTTCTCAGTGCTGTGCTTTAACCCGCTGCACCACCAGGGAGGGCCGACATTGTATTTTTTAATTTGCTGGAAAGTGCCTGTTTGTGTCCCTTGCTCACTTTTGGGGCAGTTGTCTTGGTTGGTTGTGATTTTGAAATTATTTAAAGGTTTTAAATATTTTGTACAAAATCATAATGGCAGTTGTTAGAAATCCTAGGTTTTTGCATTCCAGTTGAGACAAATTTGTAGATAGAACTTTTAGTTTCCTTTTGATGTCTTCTCACCAAGGTTGTTTATCTTGCATAAACAAATGAGGTCAGAACCTGCGTTATGTTTACACACTTATTCTGTAATTAGGACAAAAGACAGAGGAAGAAGGCGCAGAAGACAACGGCCTAGAAGAAGATTCCAGGGACGGGCAGGTATGTGGCATCACTGTGGAGGTGGCAAGCAGAACCTTTGTCCTGGTCCACCTGGTCTTTGACAGCTTTCATTCTTCTCTCCAGGAGGATGTGGATGCGGGTTTGGAGAGCTTGCAGAATATAGACATGATGGATGTTAGTGTGTTAGAAGAAACTGAAGTTGAGAACAGCGCTCCAGACTTTGGGGAGGATGGTCCCGACAGCATTCTTGATTCCCTGTGTGACAGCAAAGAATATGTGACTGCACAGCTGAGAGAAATCCCAGCCCAGCTCACAGAACATGCTGTAGGTAACTTGGAGACATGGTCGAAGGGTGCCCGCAGCCTTATGGCTCCCAGTGTTTACGTGCTATTTGTACAGAAAGAACGCACCAACTCAGACAGCTAAATCACCATTCTCTATGAGTCGTTTATTTGGTTTCAAAATCTTGTTAGCAAATTATATCCATGTAAACTTGACCTAGGTCAGATCTTAACTGTTGGATCACTTCTCTGTAGTGCTGGATGATTATTTTCATAAATGGTTTGTAGACACTTTCTGCCATATAGCTAGTTTCTTTTGAAAAATAATAGACATTAAAAACTAAAACTGTTCATGGTCTTATTTAGATGATCCTATTCTGTTTTTTTAAATGTGTTCTATGCACAAGGTTAGATAAATATATAGGAAAGTTAAATACAGTGAAGAAAGACAGGTGGTTGTCTCCCAGAAGAACCCCTCTCATTAAAGGGTCCATTTTAACAGGATGCAGGCTTTAAAACTCAGCAGTGCCACTTTCCCACCTTCTCACGTCTAGTGATTTGATGTAGCGTTTTCTGTGGTGGCCATCCCATTTTAATCTTACTGAGTTGTCATGCCGGCCATTTTACTTTGGTTTTATTAATTTAAGACATCATACCTTTGAAATGGAAAAACTGCCCTTGAAGGACTGGACTTTAAAATTTAATGGTCAAAGGTCACAAAAGCCAGACATTGAATAACTTGACCTCTCTCTTTATCCTGTCTTGAGTTAATTATTTCTAGAGCCTGAACTTTGTTTCTAATTTCTTGGCTAATGGAGGTATATAGGCATAAGGTTCAGATCTAGAAAAGGAGAGAAATGCAGGAAGGATATTTTGTATTTCACTTAAAAAGTAAAAAGCTTTCAAGTTTCTGTAGTATGGTAAATAGTAAAAATAGAACAAATTGTTTACTTTTAAATAAAGCATTCTAGAAGAAAAGTGCCCAGTTGTTAATTGCCATCAGAGCTGCTGGTATGTTTAGAGCAGGTGACAAGGCCCATAATCCAATAGTGGGCTTGTAGATAGTGAGACACTATCAAGGAATAGTAATAGATCAGTATGTTGCCTGAAAAGTGGAGTCGTGCTGACCTTGATATATGTAGCTCTCTCCATAAACTGATTCTTTTTTTTTTCTTTCAGGTGGATGGGGCAGGCTTCCAAAACACTTTGGAGACTTCATCATTAGACTTCAAAGTGCCTCCTGTAAGTTATCTTTTGGTTCTGCCATACCGCACACTTTACATGAGTAATTTTTTTAAGATATATTTATGCATACAAGAACTGGGATGTTGGCCAGAGGTGTGTGAGGGCTAGAGGGTGAGAGGTTCACCAGAGACAGGGTGGGGAGCATAACAGATGGATTGACTTAAATACACTACTAAGGGGAGTGGCGGGAGTGACAGAAGAGGTCTGCTGTACTTTGTAGGTCACCTCCCTGGCAGGCTGGGGGTCGAACTTGTGCTTTAGTGGCTGGCGATAGCATGATAGCACTGTCTTTGACCCCTGGGCCACCAGGGAGGCCTCTGACTAATTTTTTAATAGTGAAAATGGAAACTAAGTTAGCTGCTAGGGATAAGAGATTGGATCAGACAGGTACAGCCTGGGGATTACAGGTACAGTAATGGTCTATATTGACATCTGCTCTTCAGGTCAGGAGTTAAACCAATGAAAGGGAAAAGATGGCCTTGGGGCAGAGGAAGAGTGGCTTGCTATTGGGATGGAGAACTTGATGAAGTGGAAGAGGGGTAAAGGTGGGGCTGCAGAGAGATGATTTTTTTTTTTTTTTTAAGATTTATTTATTTGTGCATACAGAACTGGGGTACAGGCCAGAGGCTCAGGGGCGGTGAGAGGCCTCACCAGAGACAGAGTGGGGAGCAGAACAGGCAGATCGACGAAGTACACTGCTGAGGGGAGCAGCGGGCGGGCCAGGAGAGGTCTGCCACGCCATGTGGTCACCTCCAGGGCAGGCGGGAATCGAACTCATGCGGAAGCTGTGCTTTAACCCGGCTTTAGATTCTCAGTGCTGTGCTTCAACCCGCTGAGCCACCAGGGAGGGCCCAGAGAGATGATTTTTAATAGGTTCCAGTTACACCATCAGTTTATGTTTGGAGAAATTGCTTTTAAAATTGGTGTGATGTATGAGACAGTGTGTGACTTCCGCCTTGACTGGAAGCTGCAGAGTCTGTTAGGTCGACAGACTTGGGATGGGTCCTGCACTTGGTGGGGAGAATTAGGCAGGCTATTGCTGCTTCTGCTTTTGCCAGAGAGAAATTGACAAAGTGAGCTGTTCTCAGTTGTTTTGAGTAGAAAAAGTTGTTTGAAATAGTCTTTTATTCATAAGTAATCAAAAGCTGTATCTAGTGAGGAAATGCGTCTGCCTGATTTTAAAAGTGCCTTGTATATTTTCTTTTCTTTTTTGAAATAGGATATTGAAGAACCTCTATTGGAGCCAGGTACTGATAAGAGAAACACGACAGTTATGGTTTGAAAGTTTTCCCACTTTTTTTTTTTTTCCAAACTGTCTAAATATTTTAAACTGTGTTACGGTCTTGTAAATTATTTTAATGGTGGACAATCCAGATCGTACAAGGATCAGAGATTGGAAACCCATTCGTATCACCAGATCTGTGGAAGTGCCGTTCTGGTTCTGGAGGTCAAATATATTTGGTGAGATGTAGTGATTATTTTCCTCTCTAACCTTGTAGAGTGGCATTTAAGTAATTTCCCCCTGTGATTCTTCCATGTGTTTCTACACATGAAACAGATCTTGTGATATTTGCTGCAGTCATTTTGATTAATGCAGTTAAGGCAGGATAAATCGGTGGTCAGGGCACTTAGAGCCTGAGAAGTGACTGGATTCCAGAAGAGGAAACGGAGTTTCTTCGTGAAAATTTCCAACATGTTATTCCCCTTCTGGACTGCATTTATCTCCTGCCGTCGGAAGAGTTTCTGGTTTTCATATTGGACTGTTCTGTTAAAAGAAATTCAAAGAAATTTGGAAATTGAGCTGTCATTGAATGGTGATTGCATTCGATTCAGCACCTTGGACATTGGGAAAATAAGGCGAAGACCCAGACTTGAACAGAAACATGAAGAAAACTGTCAGAAGCAGCCAAATGGTTGTAGGTGTTTGATCTGTGGGGGCCTTTTCTCTTCCATGTAGCATAGAGGCTTGCTCTAGCAGTCGGTTGGAGTGCAGGTAGTGTAACTAGTGTAATTTTGTGTACCCTCGGGTTTTCCAATCTCTGTGTAGCTAGCAGTTCTCTTGGTGTTAGTGTGGCAGCCGTGCCAGTTCCGCATTTGTGATTGCTTTATTTCCCTGGTAATTAAACCTTGTGCCATTCTATTCCTGTTAAATCCGTAGAAAATGAGAAAATACTCGACATTTTGGGGGAAACTTGTAAATCTGAGCCAGTAAAAGAAGAAGGTTTCGAGCTGGAGCAGCCATTTGCACAGGACACAAGTAGCGTGGGGCCAGACAGAAAGCTTGCGGAGGAAGAGGACCTTTTTGACAGCGCCCATCCGGAGGAGGGTGATTTAGATTTGACCAGCGAGTCAACAGCACAAACTCAGTGGAGCAAGGCAGACACCCTGTTAGCGGTAGTGAAAAGGGAGCCCGTGGAGCAGACAGGCGATGGCGAGAGGACGGACTGTGAGCCTTTAGGGCTAGAGAAGCCAGTTGAGCAGAGTAGTAAAGCCTCAGAGCACGCGGAAGCCTCTAGCGAGGAGGTCTCGGAAGCGCCCTGGGAAGCCTCAAGCCCAGAACCCAGAGATAGCAAAGAAGACGTGAAGAAGTTTGCTTTTGAAGCTTGTAGTGAAGTCCCTCCGGCTCCTAAAGAGTCCTCAGCCAGTGAGGGCGCTGATCAGAAAATGAGGTTTGTTTTTTCTCAGTTTTAGACCAGACGCTATCTCCTTTTCATTGGTCGTTTAATGACACACATAAGCTGTTTTTTCTGCAATTGGCCAGCCAGACTGATGAAATTGTAGTTTACTTCTAAAGAATGTTTTATTTCTCTTTGCGTATTTTATTGGGTGATTCAATTCCTTTTCTTTTTCTCAACCTACCATGGTTGTGTTCTTAAATCGTTAAGTGTTATCTTCAGCTAAATCGAATTGACTTAAGAAAATCTGACATTGTATTTTGGGGGGTCAGATTTCCAATATAAACTTGCAAAGGTGTCTTAAAATTTTATTTCAGACTAATTTTCTGGTAGGTATTAAGTTTTAGCACATATCATACTTTAATTTATTTCTCTTTCATTTTTTTCCTGTATGAGTAACATTAACTTTTGTCTTTAGCTCTTTTAAGGAAGAAAAAGATATAAAGCCAATCATTAAAGATGAAAAAGGTATGATTTTAACTTACATGGTGGGGAGCCACCTATGGATCCCTTCTTTTGGGAAGGAGGGCGGCAGGGAGGGAGCACAGACACCCACATGTTGGATCTGCTATTTTGTCTTGTTGCGTATTGTAAGAATTCATTACCTGATGTATTTGAGAGACTAGCTTTAAATGGGAAGCTTCTGTGTTTTATGTCTTTGCTGTGGTTGTTGTGCATGAGATAGTGAGAATCCTATTAGAGGGTTTTTCTGCCCCTCGAACACTCAGGTGACAGAATTCTAAAAACTGCTCTCTTGGTTGAGAACTGAGCATCAAAGGGCTCTTCAGCTTGTCCCTTGTGGCATGTTTATTCTTCAAGTAAGGAAATGCAGTCTCTGTGATGCGGACGTTTTGCCCTTTGGCTTGTTTATTATATTGATGGGCATTAAATTCTTGACTCAGGAGTGGAGGCTGGATTTGTTGGGCTTGGAGGTGGCACAGAGTTAGGAGTGGGTCTACTTCGGCCTGCCTGATAGCCTCCCCCGCCGCAGGTCGTGCCAGCAGCAGCTCTGGCCGGAACCTCTGGGTCAGTGGCCTGTCTTCCACAACTCGAGCGACAGATCTGAAGAACCTTTTCAGCAAGTACGGAAAGGTAATGGTCTCCCTACCTCGGTTATTTCTGCTTAAGGGGGAAACATAGCACTGGGGGCACTGCCCACAGTGGGGTGGCATGCCTGGTTCCTGAGGCAAGACTGGGTCGCGCATGTAGCAGGGGTTTAGCATGCAGAATGTGGCTCAGGAGGTGGGTGTACATCACTCTGACTGTCCGTATGATTCAGAGTTCTTAAAGAAACTAATGTCTTTAGACCACTGCGAAACTTAAAGTTGTTATGTTGGTTTTTTCCCCCTTCTGGCATCTTAATTACAGTGTGATGGTGGCTTAAAAATAAATCAGCTAACATGTTGCTAATAGGGGCAAGAGGAAAATACGATGACTCAGAAGCTTTCCAAGGACATTTAAAAACTATTCCATTGTCCTGGAATTAGAGAATGAAGCATTTTTATGAGCCACAGAGACTGCCCTGCTCTTGGGGCTGGGGGAGCATGTGCGTAGCTCTCTGAGAAGAGTGCACGCGACGCCATGCTGAGGAGTCGTCGAGTTTTTGATGACTTTCTGATGCTGCCTTCCAAGTCACTCCTTAGCTCAGGTCTGTGTCACCTTTTTAGTGACTTAAGCAGACAGCTCCGAGACGAAGTATTCAGTATTCATATAACATAGTCATTCCGTGATTTTTGTTGACTTCTCTAATCAGGCACTGATTACAAAGCAGAAGACTGCAGGTACAGTAAATCCTCACTTGACATCCTAAGTTCTTGCAGCTTACAACTTTAAACAGCATACACCGAAACCAGGTCCTGTAGTAGGAACGTTTATTTCAGCATTGCCAGGGTTTTTTCTCATTAGTGTTCCAGAAGAGTAACATTTAATAAAATAGTATTCCAGGACCTGCTGTTTAAGGTCGGTGTTGTCATATATCTTAGAGCTGGTAAAAACATCACTTAAGAAACGAGCATACATAGGACATGCTATATAAGAACAGTAAGGAAAGTTCCTCCACGTGTTGTGAGTGTGGGAAAGAGATCTGATTTAGGCTTGGGAGGTGCCTCAGTGATCAGAGCATAGTTCTGGACAAAGGCTGCAGGTGCCCCATGGTGGGGGCAGGCTCTGTAACTCGGATGAACTAATCACAGGCGGCTATGTGGCATCGAGAGCAAAGGAGGGCAGGCTTGGAGATAGACATTCACAGTGTCTACTCGTGGGTTTTACCTGTCGGCGTAGCTGGTGTCCTTGCAGGCTAACTAGCTTGATGCAAGGGGCGGATGAGCCTAAGCTGACTTAGTCTCCCAACCTCAAGGACAGGCGAGACGTGTAAACCCCATCTCTGACCTGAGAAGTGACATCTGCACTCTCAGCAGAGAGCTCTGTGGCCCCTGGCTCTGTTTGGAGAGCTCTCGAGTCAGGATGCTGCCAGTGTGTTTCCCTCCCAGCCGCCAGAGCCTTGCGGGTCGTGTCCACCGGGAGCTTAGAGAGGACTCCTCTTCCTTGCAACCCCCAGCGCCCACCGTCTTCATCTCACTGTTGAGGGCCCTGAGGACCCGGGAGGGAGATGACTTCTTCCACTGGCCCCGAAATGGGAGCGGAGCAGTCGCCTGTCACTGTCTGCTCTTCCCTGGCTAGCTGGCTCCGCTTCGCTTGTTTGGATTCTTTCGAGACCTTCCATTGAGGACAGCATTGGTGTGTCAGGGCTCACATCTCCCTTCTGGCACTGTGGTTTCCCTGTATTCTCTGCCAGGGTCCCTTGTTCTGTTTGTGTGTGGCCATTAAGTATTTTTAATGACTTGTCGCTGATCCACTGTGCGTTTTTCAATTGGTTGCTTTCAGGAGTCATAGTGCATGTCTTATCATAATCTGTCTACAAATGACGTTACGAAGTTTACAGGGGTACAAGACCCAATATCAGGGAGCCAGCCTTCTGCCCGGCCTTTGTGATACTTGCATCGTACCTTTTGTTTCTGTTCAGTAAACCACACCATACATCATTGGCTTGTATTTATTTGCTTTTCTATTTAAAATAGTTAACTTGCAGAGAGATTTACAAATCAGAGAAAAAAAAAACCTATGGGTTTATAATGAATCACCTACATGCTTCGCATTTTGGGTGCTGTAGCTCTCTTTTCGAGCATTTCCACTTCCCCATGGGTTGTTAGCTCTCCCTCAAATATTTTTTTGGGCAAGGCTGATGAATTCTCGCTCTTTCTGTATGCCTGGAAAAGTTGCTTTTCTGGTGTTTGTTTTGAAAGCCCCTTTCCCTGGGCTACAAAGTGGCAGCTTGGTTGGTGCCCCGCCTCTGCTCACTGTCTCCACCACGTGGCTGTCCTTCCCTCTGTGCCTGCCGAGTACTCTCTTCTCCCTCAGCTGCCTGTGAAGCTCGCGCTAGCTCTGACTTGCAGCAGTTTGCAATGAGGTGTGTTGGTCTTGTTTAAGTATCTTCTGTGCTGATTTGCCTTCAGGGGCTGTGGAAGGCACCCACAACTCACTTGCTCTGGTTTGTTTTTTAGTCTCTCTTCTGTTTCATTTTGAAGATTTTCTGTCTTCACAGTCCCTCATTTTCCCATCTACAGTGTTGATTGGATGCTGTATTGTAACTTTCACTTTGTTGGGTGCTAGTTGTTCTTTATTTGTTCTTAAACTTTGACTAGGACACAACTGAGTTACCTTTCCTCCAGAGGCTGTTCGGCTTTATCAGTCCTGCTGGATTCGCTTTAGTTGGGGGGGGGGGGTGCTTTTCTAATATTCAGACCTATGGAATCCTGGCAGTCAGTCTGATGAATTACAGGCTTGCTCTTTGGGGTTGTTTTACTATGGGGACAGTGAACCACCTGTAGCCCTGGGTGTCCCGGGTATTGTTCCCTCTGCTTTTTGTTCGTTTGTTTGTTTAAGGTTTATTTATACATATTAGAACTGAGGTAAAGGCAGAGGTAGGGGTGTGTGTGTGTGTGAAAGGACCCACCAGAGACAGTGGGGAGCAGAACAGGCAGATATATTGAAATCCACTGCTGAGGGGAGCAGCTAACACAGGAGAGGTCTGCTCCCTGTGGGTCATTCCCTGGCCAGGAATGGAGCTGTGTTCCAGTGACTGCAGCCAGCTTGATAGTAATGCATCTTCCCCCCTGTGCCACTAGGGAGGCCCTGTTTCCTCTGCTTTCTGTGCAGTCCTCTTCCTAGCTCTCGGGGGGTGCTGTGCAACTCTCTGTTCGCTGATACTGTCTTCTCTCCACCTGATCTCGCTGTGTTCTGAGCTCTGCTTTGTCTACTGGGGATTCTGGCTCCCTTGGTCTCCCTGCCTGAGACCTGGAAGCTAACCCCAGACAGTAAAGCAGGGCAGCCATAAGCCTGTGGCATGGGCTTCCTCTTGCAGGCTCCCTGTCCTGAGGCCTGACAGCACTGCCTGAAAGCCCTTGTTGCCTGCTTGTTCTCCAGGCTTTTAGTGGTTTCAGGTAGCAGGAGGGTGAATGCTTGGTCCTGACTAAGTAGACAGCCTCGCTGTGATTTCTTCAGCATGTTCTTGGCTTTGGCCTTCAGGAATTGTGGTGCATTCTGAGGTGGTAACTCCTCAGCTACCTTGGGGTATAGTGGAATTGTAGGAAATGATCTGAATGTGAAGGATTTTTAGTTAACTGGAAAGTTGTGAATTGTGAAGTTGAATTGTCTGTCTTTGCCTGTTTGTCTTTTCATACTATAAAGGCTTATTTCATATCAAAAATAATTATATTTTAGTAGTTCAGGATTGATTGGATTTAACTGAGAAGAATTAGCAATTTCCAGAGAAGTTAAAAACTAGTGCAAATGACTCTGATGACCAGTGAACTATTAATAATTTTGGAAAAATTTGCACGGTGACTTGTATGAGAAGGTAAGAGTGTCATTTCCCTATGAAGGTTGTCGGGGCCAAAGTGGTCACCAACGCCCGTAGTCCGGGGGCACGGTGCTATGGATTTGTCACCATGTCAACATCTGATGAAGCTACAAAGTGTATCAGTCATCTGCACAGAACGGAGCTGCATGGAAGAATGATCTCCGTAGAGAAGGTGAGGCAGTTCTTGTCTTTGGTGACTCAGGAAGTCCCCAGCTGAGAAGACCTGGTCTGTGAACCATTTCTACCCATATTCTGTTTCCAGGCCAAAAACGAACCTGCTGGGAAAAAGCTGTCTGACAGAAAAGAGTTTGAAGTGAAGAAGGAAAAAATATCTAGCGTTGACAGACATCATTCTGTGGAGATCAAAATTGAAAAGTAAAGTGTTTTTAAAAACCTTTTTCTTAATCTTTCTCTTGGGAGGAGGGCAGATGTGTCCTTTCCATAGAGAGACTCACTTAGCTCCTCACTTAAATTTCCTTTTGTATCTTGCTGCACTTGAATATTCAGCTTTCGGTCAAGATACCTAGTGATGTGGTATATAACTTTAATAAATTAATTCAGTTGATACATAGTGTTTCTATCTAGCTGTCTTAGTAGCCTGCTTGCTAACACAGAATGAAAGAATACTTTTTATTTCATTGTTAACATTCTAGACCCTTACTTGGCCTCCCAAACTTTGGAATCCTTTCCTGACCTACATTGATGTTCTTAAAGTTCTTGCTTTTTATTGTAGCAATTGCTAAATCTTGCTTTGCAAAGATTAACAGCCTGCATCCTTTGGTGACAGGGACACATTCTGGAAAATGTGTTATGAGATAATTTGTGCAAATGTAGCAAGAATTATGTACACAAATCTAGCTGGTACTACCTACTCCACACTGAGGCTGTGCCATTATAGCCTGTTCGGACCCATGTTAATGAGGTCTGTCCTGACCAAATGCCATCTAACGAAATGCAGCATGATGCAATACTGAATGATCTCAAGCTTGTAGTTTGAGGAATGTTTAAGAGATAGCAAGTATGACTATGTTGCCTTCAAATTTTAAAGTATCTTAGTGTACCTGTAAATTTATCCTGAGTTATTCACAGAATGGATTGGGAACCACAAATCTGAGATACTGTTTTTACAAAGAAGGTGATTTATGTCTGTAATCAAGATGGAAACAGATATCTCTTTCAGAGCAGTCATTAACTATTTCTACTTGTCTCAAAACTAGGATTCTCTCTCTGAGGGGGTAGACCGATATGATGCCGTTCTCAGAAGACTGTGTTATGTTTATATTGCCTACATAATTTACTTCCATTTTGCAGTCTATTCATACTGTAGAACTTTCTGCTTTTTTTTTTTTTTTTTTTTTTTTTTATAAGGGAAGACATTCTGGAGAAGACTTTTTTCTCTCTCATCTCCT